AGTTCTGAATGCTTACTGTAGTCTTAGGACTAATTTATCCTCGAGGCATCATTGCTAGAGCTTTCCATATCCACAATCTGACTAACCTAGACTTTTGGTAACTTACGCCGAGTTTGAGAACAAGTACTTGCGAGCTAAAGCCGCTACCATTACCTACTTTTGCCCTTATAAAGTTCACCCAGACTCCAACATCTACTTTACAGACTACCATTAACTTTCCTGGCACACCAACAGCATTACCAAACTTCTAATCCAGATGGTTTGGAAGAAACTTGTGTTTCCTAGTATTCCAATAAATTCTTTTCCTCATATACACATAGCCTGGTTGGTGTTGTGCCTTGCCAAACACCTGGTCCTTGTTCAGTTGGCTATTGGGTCCGATTGCTGATGATCTTCCTTTACATAGTACCATTGAAGATTTGTGCTACCTCTTCATTCGAGACTTGCCAAGCAGGCTTCCATGTGCCTGATCCCCTGGATTTACTTAGATACATCACTTGGGTTTCATATAACTCTTGCATTACAATAATGTTCCGCATTCTCCCAGTACTAGCTGGTATAACCAAGGTTACAGATGCCGATCTGTCAGATTATACACAGTCTGCCATAACACATTTTATAAAATTCAAATTTCGTCACTAGTGAAATTCGAACTCTTGTCCTGCTGCTTGGGGTGTGACAACTTACCAACTTCACTAAGTTGCCATACTCTATAAGCAATTTTATATAAATTTTATATATTATATATAGTACTAAAAACTTAAATAGTATTTTTTTTCTTTTGACAATCCTGTTTACTTTATTATGAAAACAGATTTTCATTCTTATATTGATATATGAAAAAATTTAAATCTATAGTATTTCTGACCAAAATATAAACTCATTTATAGTATATCTCGCAGATGTCGTAACATCTATTCACAGTCAGGGCAAACCATTAAACTACTGTGTTTTGCCCAGATGTGATCTGTTTAGTAAACAATTAACTTTCTTTAGAGATCTGAAACTTACTCCAGACTTATTTTCACTAGATTTCTTAGCTGGCTATTGTGCAGTCCTGTTAAGATTCTTGTTCTATAATAAAATGTTATCAAACTAATAACACTTTCTTGTAGAGAAGGAAAAAAGAAAAAAAAAGATAATAGGAAATGAAAAAAAGGTATATAATAAAAATTAATATATCAAAAAAAATGAATACTAATACTAAAGAATATAAAAAACTAAACTAAAACCTAAAAAAAACTATCACTAAAAAGAAGAAAAGCTACTAACTAGGTGAAAACTTTTAATTATACAAAGTAATGATCTATTATTAAGTGCAAGAGTCTTGACAAAAAATTTAAAACTAAAATAAAATATACTATAACTTATGCTAAAGGCTAAAAATTATATACAAATGACTAGAAGATGTCTGTATATCTCTTTTCACTTTGCTTTACTCTTTTAATTAAATCCTTATCTTTATTCAAAAGTATAAGAATTTTGAAATCTTCATGGAATCTGTTTAATGACAGTATCATATATTTGTATATTCTTAATAATATAATATATAAGGTATTTTTCTGAATACTTATCTAGTTACTAAATTCGTCAGTACTGTCTATTTTATACATGTTGTTTGTTATCATGTAGAGTTTTCTGATATATAAATGATAAATATTGCTGATCTTTTGAAGAGGGTTTGCTAAATTTCCCACTTTTTATCGAAAATTATGATCAAAAGTATTAAAAAGAGAAAATACTGTATTTGCGAGAGCTTAAGACAATAAAAGTGTTTTCAGTTGTTTTTCATAAACTAAAAAGCTTTAGATACTTGAGTCGAAAGTTTTTCACTACTACTGTTATCAAAATAACCCTTTTGACTTGGATGCTAAATATATGAAAGAGTTTACCAAGAAGAAAAGCTTGATCCAGAGCACAAACCAACTATATATACCCGCTTCTTGGTGTTCACATATAAGTTTTCATAGACAATAGTACCAATAAAGAATCTCAGATATCTTTAGACTTTTTAGAGCCTTGAATCTTCAAACTGTTTTGGTCTGGTCTTGGTTTAAGTAATTATCAGAAAGAGTTTGATTATTATTGCAAATTTTCTGAAAACTTGAATAGTATTATTAAACTACTGTATAAAATTTACTATGCATATATAATCTAACTAATTATATTAGTCAATTCAGATATTATATATAAAATTTTATTATATAATATGATTTTATAAATGTATTTTAGTAACTATAACCGGTGGTGATCTTCACTGGTGTATAATTAGCCAATAGATTTGCAGGATCAAGTATAATGTGCAAATCAATATGTGTAATAACAATAAAAGATTTTTTTAAAAAATGCTGATATCTCAAGAATTTGTCTATGAAACTACCTTCGACATTCTAACAAAAAAAATTTCTTGCTAAATTTTGCATATATTTAACACCTTGCTACCTAAAGTAAATGAAATAAAATATTTTTTTTGGTTTATCGTTATTGGCTAATTATATACCGATGATGATCACTGCCAGTTATTCTAACTAAAACTCTTTATAAATTATACAAATTGATAAAGTTATATTTTTAAAGTAATTACTATATAAGTTTGAGATTATATATATAAAAATATATATACAATTAATATATATCTAATACTGTAAAATAATTTGTTGAACAATAAATTCAAAAGCAAAATTCAGAGTAAAATAAAAAATATTTATATAGTCAGGCTTTGTAGTTTCATTAGTGTTAACATGTTAACTCCTAACTATATTAAATAGTATTAACTAAATGATCATTTTAATAAATTCAAAATATAAAAATCTTTGATATTAGTTACCTAGCCTATTAAAAAAAATACTATAAATAAAGGCAAGCTGAAACTTAAAGTATATATAATAACTTGAAATAGCTAAAGCACTAAACTAGAAATACAATTGTATAAAAAAGAGCTTATATATCCAAAATAAAAAAGAACACCAAATATTAAATTAGAAATAATCTATAGCAAAAACCCAAACTAGGTCTATATTTCTAGTGCTTTGCTATCTAAAAAAGCAAAGCAATAGAAACACCAAAACTAACTAAAATTTCAGAAAAATTAAAAGAAATATTTTATAAACTTATTATTTGGAAGTTATAATTATAACAAAGAATTGCAAGCTTTTTACCAATATATAAGAGTATCTAATAAACAAGAATCAGTAGTATACTAACTAAACTAGATATTACTGTATTAAAAGGATGTAATTTAATCTTTTTAAAAATTTAGCACTTACAAACATATCCGATTATCATTGTATAAAAATATCGATATTGTTACATCATAATTCAGCAGTGGCTTAGCAGTTTATGTCTTTAGACATACCATTTGAAATATATATTTTAGTTGAAAATCTTGATATATAAAATTTAGAATGCGAAGTTGTTAAAAGATACAATAAAGAATGCAAAATTTTAAATTGAAAAAATATTATTAAGCGTTATACATACATATATACATACATATATATTAATATAGAACTACATAATAATTTTACAAAATAAATGAGACTAGTTATGTGTTTGATTCTTTAGCGTTAAGTGATTAGCCTTCACTGTAGGTTACCGCATTTACGTTGTTTTGGTCTAGTTAATCGATTTTTCCTATATAACCTAATTAAATTAACCATTCCAATTTTCTTAAAATTGACTGACTTAGTCGATTAGTCGATTAGTCGATTTTATCAATCACGCATTTGATTTATTTTTATATTAAATGTTCCTTTTCGCGAAATAATTAAATTCTTATAAGTAACGATAATTAGCTAAAAATTAATTAAATGACTAGAAATGCACACCCATTCCACAATAGGACCTAATGCATCTGTTTTAAACTTCAAAATATAGAATCGATTGGTAACTTACAAAGACGGCCCCAAGTATTACAATACGATAGTGGAATTTTCATGGCGATTCCGAAATATATTCTTGGGTTGTCTTCGACTATAAAAACAGTAATATCATCTTGAATGATTATCGTTATCAATGTATGCGTCTTGATATGGTAACAATGATCTTGTAGGAACGGTTTCACAAAACTTTATATTTCTGTACTTCCTGATATGGTAACAATGAATGAAATATAGCCTTGTCTTTAAAGTTGTATCAAATTTCTAGTAGTCCTTCTTTTATTTGAAATTCTTTTGTAGAATTCTGTCCATTCAAAAATTTTGGATACCTGTTTTGATATTTTATCCGGTCGGCATCAGACTAACTTGCAAGTTTAAATAATATCTACAAAATTTTGCTAAACTAAGCTTATTATGTAATATAAAAATATTACTCTACCAAATGAGACCTTGAATTAATGTCTTCACGTTAATTAGATCTCTGAACTACTAACACATCCATTGTATTTGGGAAAACCGTTCAAAAAAGGGTTTATGCATTTAAATTAAAAAAGTGGGGTTAAAAAGCCAAATTAGTTAAACTGTAAAAATTTTTCTTTGCGAGCACAATTTATTTGAAAAATAAATTTATTATACGTATCATATATGGGTTAGATATGTTATATTTACGTTATTCATTGAATGCTTGTTGGTATTTTATGCGTATGATAATTTATTATAACCATATAATAACAATTTCTATCCAGGCACAATCATTATTGTCAAATAAAGCTCTTTATTTAACTTACTGAACCAATCAAAAAACTCATTATCATATTCATGACCTATAACAAAAGCTTCCTACACTTGCTATTGTCGACATAGAAGGAAATGTGTGAAACGGTAATTTTTTAAGTTAACTGAATTAATTGTCTATCGAATCACGTGGAAACCGCCAAACGTCAATCGTGATGCTTGTTTTCTGTAACACTCGGTTCGCTTGTAATTACGCGGCCACACTTGTTATACATATTTGGCCAGAAAGCTCCTTGTTTTCAAGTCTCGTTTTATAAAGCTGCCGGTACGTACGTATGTACGTTACGTATAATTTCTTAATTCTGTTTGGTATTCGTAGTAACAATAATGGATGGCATTATTAGCATTATTGGGAATATTATTTCATTAGGTCAAGAGATCAATACCCGTTTTGAGAAGCATGGAGAAGCCATTGGAGAACTCAAGAAATTGGAAAGAATTCTACTACAGCTTAAGGATGTTTTGGAAGAAATTAATAAGAAACCTGATAAAGCTAATAAAGCTGACAAGGATGAAGTTGAAAATGTTTATATAATTGGCATCAAAGATACCATTGTGAAAGCCCAAAACACTTATATGAAATGCGCAAAAGATCTTCGCATAAATGAAGATAAAAGCAAGCTTAAAATTATAAAGCAGGGTATAGGAATACTTAAATCACCCTCTATCTTGGCAAACATCCAAAGCATAATTAAAGAGATTGAGTTTGAACTTAACCTTACCGAGAAGTTCTTGAGTATCGTACGACACACTCAAACTTCAACAACATCAGAAACCACTACATCCACTAGCTCTCTAGTGGTAGGATCAGAACTGAAAGGTGCTTTGGCAAATACGATTGAAGAAATTGTGAAAAGACTTCAAAATGAATGTCAGCAACTTAAGGAGAGGTTTGATCGCTGTACCCTTCCTGCTGATTCTTCTTTCCTTGATGGCCTGGGAAGAGACAATCCGGAAGCAATTGCATTCTGGAAACAACACTTCAGATCTGCTGAACTCAGTATAGCATCTATTGTTCCTTACGAGGTAAGTTAACCATTAATTAGTGGTTTATTTAATAAAAGTCGATTATTATTGGTGCAAAGCATTTTTAATATATGAATGTAGAATATATATGTCTCCTGGGCTCGGTTTGTCCATGAAATTGAAACAGCATTTCAATTAAAGAATATCCGGACTGCCATCATGACATTCAATGAAAGCGATGAAATACGCAAACATGGCAGTAGATATCTTATTTCAAATAGAACGCTTGATTTGAAAGACATTAGACCACTTTGGCTTCCAGCTCTACGCGAAGCACTGGATCCATTGCACAAAGGTTACGTTAAACCACATGACTATTTGTCTTTCCTTGGTGAAGAAAAATTATCTAGCAAGTTAAAACAGGTCGTTCTCAATAGTTGTGGGTACGGATTTTTTGTAGAATGCCGGAAAACGTCAAGTGACATTCCGCTCCCAACTGAATTAGAATGTCCTGCTCATAGCGTTGGTTGGATGTCTGCCTGCCAAATCATTTCAGTACCATCATTGGATGAACTTGGAATATTCTTACAAAATGAATCAAATCTAGAGAGTATCATTAAACACATCATCGAATATCCTGACATATGGGTATGCGTTCGCTACCTTCAAACTGGACAAATTGAGAAAAAACTTCTCACAAAGGATATACGAATGCTCGGTGGACTTCGTATTGGAATTTCAATATCTATCAGATACACATTAGAAAATAGTTCAAAGGTTTGGAGTAGTATCTTTTCGGTTATAGAACTTAAAGCTTGTGCTGGTGGGCGTTATATTGTAACAGCTAGATCAGATGTGAATACCATCGTATTTGTGACAATGCCGCCAGTTGGCTTTGATCATTTTGTAATACAGACCGATCAACATGAAGATTTAAAGGACTTACCAGAGCTTGAATATAGCCTGTTGGGACCTTCAAAAGTATTTAGACAAAAACCTAAAGATGGAGAGAAAATTCAGGTGAGAAAATTTTGGTTAATACACTTAATATAGTATTAAAGTAACTATGCTTGAATATACTCATATTTAAGTCGTGTTCATAATGTATACAGGTCAATGTAGATGGGTTATGGCATGATGTTAAAGTTACCAAAGTCGACGATAAAGATGTGGAATATGTGAATTGGTCTTCGGTTGACGTTATTCCTGTAGAAAATACCGAAAACATTGATGATTCGGAGGACGTGATTGGCTTTTCAGAGCAAAACTTTACAGAACTTGAAAGAGGTGAAAAAAGAAGTTGGTGTCCATGGAAAGACGACAACAATGAAGGCGTAACAAAGTGGGACATTAGACCTTATCGCTGCCTCCACGTTGGTGATCTTGTAGAAGCGCCTGTGGTATATCCAGATTATAAGTATCGTTACCATAGTCTCGAGGACTCGCAATTATATCTTCCGGCTCGTATCATTGAAGTTGAAGGAGATCAATATCTGGTCGAGTTCAGCCCCGCATTCATTGCTTACAGTTGGTGGCCTGGCCGTTCTTCAAATCCGGACAAATTTCCGCGCGAACCAGAAGCCAAAGAGACTGTCAAAAATCCATTTTTCAATGAGACGCAAGTCTGGGTGAATATGGATCGGGTTCGCCCTTACTGCGGAGCTGACCCGCATCCTGTTTTGGGTATATCGTCGATGAGACCACATAGTTGGTCGGTATTTCAAGGAATCCAATTTACGGACCTGCAACAATTTAGCGAAAAGATTTTGTGGAAGCAATAATAAATAGCACTTCACCAAAATGTTAAATTTGCATTATATAAATTATTATTATTATCGCAATTTGTTATTTATTTATTTATTTATTCATTTATTTCTAAAAATGAAATAAGCTTTATTTTTTGTTGTAAACTTAACAAATAATTGGTAGAATATAATGATTATAATCATAAAGGCATGGCGTGTTAGAGATCATTTACCGAAAGATTGACTTTATTTCTTATATAAATATTGAAAGGTGGATAGAATAGTAAGGCTTTCTCCAAATATACATATATATAAACAATACACTTTCAGTATAAGGGAAGTGACATAAACGTAATATGTTGAGGGGTTTCAAGGATCTTATATTCATATTAATATGTATTTAAAAAAATCATACCAAGGAAAAAGAGAAAGTAAAAGTATAAAAAGATTACGTAATACCCGTGATTTTATTAATTATTGATATTTCTTAGCAATAATATAATGTCATAATTTAAATTACCGTTATTGGACATAAATATTAACCTATCACAAATCATTGAAAATCACGGAACCATCTGTTCATTTTCTTTGCTCGTGTCATTATTCGCCAGCGGTTTTGCACAAAACCTTGTGTTCCTTATAGTGGCTTTTTTGACAATCTATTCCACAATAAACTACCTTTCGACACCTTCCACAACGCTTATTATTCTCATTTGCCTTTCCACAATTCGCACAAACAACCAAAGCAAGCAGTTCTTTTGCTTTCTGTAATGTCGCCATTAAAATCTTTTGCTCACCAATACTAACATGCGCTGCTGCCCATGCGTTGCTTCCTTTTTGATATGTGCCAGAAGCAATTTTTGCTTCAAGCTCTTCAAGAGAGACGCTAAATCCAGCCAATAGGTTCTCACATGCTTCGTCTAAAGCTTTTAAAATCTCAGCTTCATTACGAGCACTAATTCTATCTTTAGTTCCGCGACTTACTGCCAGTGTGGAGATTTCCGAAGGCGATAATCTCTGTATTCGTAGATATTGAAGCACATTCAATGGTAGTGGATCACTGAGTTTGAGGGGGAAAGTGGAGTTGACTTGTAAACCGATTGATTCGAATAAGGCTACTTTTTGAGAATATAAGGGTGCTTGGGGGTGTGTAGTAAGAACAAGGTCATAAGAATCATGGGGATTGTTGGGAAGGATGAAACCGTAGAGACGTAGGAGTCTGTTATTTGGAACTGGACCATAGTTGATGAAGACCTTTAATATATAAATTTATAATGGATAAAGATTAAGAAATATATAATTGAAAGTGCTTCTAAAGTGCATCAAAGATGTAAGGCAATGTGTAACCTGCTCTCCCGCTTTATAGTCTTTTCCTGCCAATATCTGCAATCTATTCAATTGAGGATCATAAATATGACAAAGTTCAACATCAAAGGAGTGATTTAGCATGTCAGCGAAAGGGGCAATACATCGAAACTGTTTGTCAGACAGCTGGAAATCCATTCCTCGGCTCCAAATAGTACAAAGAGCCCATATATACTGGGAAGATTCAAGTAAATGAAAATAGTTAAAGTCATTTCGTTATATCGAACAAATAAAGGTTGTTTGCAAAAAAAGAAAAAAAATGAGACTAAGGAGAAAGAAAACAACTCACATCATCTTGTGTAAATCTTTCTAAAGGGAATAGATCTGGGTGTTTTGTGATCAAATTGTTGAGGAGTTTAAGGTAATCATCTCTAATTTGCAATTTCAACTTTTGGGTCAGGTGATAAAGCGAAGAGCCAGCACAGATTTCGAGTTCTTCGTCATTAAAGAAAATACTAGCTGTATAACTGGTTGGTAGCAATTCCACGTGTGCTCGCCTCCCATCATATCCCGTTTCACACGATTTGATGAAAAGAAGAAACACTGCTAGTATATCATCCACTGATAATGGTGGTTCTACGGAGCGTATGACAGTCCCAATGACCGGGTCACTAAGTGCCGCATCTACCGTCCAGAGAAATGATCCTGGCACTGTAAGGATTACATCGTGAGACTTAAGGGACCGCAGCGTTTTAACGCCGCGTCCCGTATCGGGGAAGTCTTCTAGTTGTAGCCAACTGAGACCTTCAACCCCACCATTTACAAGCCATTCCTGTAGCTTCATGGTTGGTATAACAGAAATTTGGACAAAACATAGCTACCTTACTTTTAAGAAAAATGAGATTAAGCATAATTGTAGAGATATTACTGCAATAATATGAGATACGATAAAATGCCGGCTATACTCAATACTGAATACTGAATAATTTTATTCTATTGGATTGGCCAAAACTTATGAACGAAGTCACGGGGCAGCTCTTCATTAATGAATGTGTTGAGATTAACTGTTAATAAGTACGTACGTACCTGTTAAAAACAGGCGGAGATCCCGTGATAACAATTTCTCTTAACGTTAAATGTTCTGATAATTTTTGGAAATCATGTCAGAATATTATAATAGTTGTGACTGATCCAATAGAATATCTGAGTCTACACTTGAGATTACATGTTGATTAGATTTAGTATGAGATAAAAACTTAGTTGATTTTAAATCAATAGACAAATACATTCTAAGTCAGAGAAATTTTATAATCCTGACAGCTCATTATCTATCAGCATTGCAATAATAACAAAGTATTTTATTGTTTTTATAATTTTCAAATTATTGAGTTGTCAGGATTTTGAATCCAATACATATGCGATTCATCATTACCCAGAATCCGGTCCTATAAAATTTTGGATTATGGTCTTTAGACAAATACCGGTACCGGACTATCTGGAAATAATATTTTGGTTTTAGTTAAATGTATTAAAACAAGACGATAGTTAACAAAATATTAAAACCAGTATATTAAAATACTGTATATACTAAAAACAAAATACTAATTATACAATAAGTATTTTAAAAAATAATCTTATTAGATATGGTAATTGATGTCTTATAGGATTATTTTTAAATAAAAATCTTATATATAATTTAGGCTATACAAAATTTATATATTGGTTTCATAATATTTAAATTTTTTTCTAACCCATTTGTTCAATTTTTTTTATTTATCAAAAAATTATATATATAATTTTGTCAAAAAATTTTATATTAATAAAATTTTAAGTTTTAAAAGTTCTGGCAAAACAAATTAAATAATTTTATTAAAAAAAATTCTAATATCTAGTATATATATACAAAATTAATTTTTAATTTACAGTATAAAATAATGAGCTCTAAACCCCGATGATCACTCATATCAAACTTACGGCTAACAAAAACAGAAACTTGTTGGAGAAAAGTAGAAGAAACAATTACAAATAACAGTTTTTACAGAGGTCAAGGCTTGTCATGTTCTTTCTCTGGACTTCTTTGTATATTCAGCATGCAAGTTAAAAGTGTTCTTGTACAAGAT